AAAAAAAAGATTTCCCAGCAGGACTAAACTTGGTGTTTCAGGGAGACCGAGGACAGGCACACTCCTGGGCCTGTAACCTGTTACTCTTCAAAACATGAGCTGTATTTTCTTCTGAGGCTGTCAGGAGATTAAAAGCTGTTTTGGGTTTTGTTTTTTTTCTTTTTCTAAAGAAACAAAATACCTGGCTGGGGAGATAATTCAGCGGCATAAGCACCTGCCTAGCAAACACAAGGTCCTGAGTTCAATCCCCAGTACCACAAAAAAAAATAAAAAAAATAAAAAAAAAATTTAACCCTGAATTAAAAAAAAAAAAAAAAAAAAAAATCCCTGAAGCCCATGACTAAAAGCAGAACAAAGCTTGACTTGCATTTGGTGTCTGTCTAGTGCTGTGGGCCCCACCCTGCTTGGCTGTATGTATAGGTGTGTTAATCATTTAAAAGGGCCTGTCTGTCTAAAAACTGGCAACTCAAGGTTGACCAGTCCTGAATTTACACATCTTACACCCCCCAAGTAAAGATAACAAGGGCAGAGGATTATAGGGATGTCCTACCACCACTGGACACCCAGAAACCTCCACTCATTGCCCTAGCCATTCCTTGGCAAGCCCAAGGGTCTATGTTCAAGCCCCAGTTCCGGGAGACTGGGACAAAGGCGACACCGATTCATTGCCCTAGCCAATGGTCACTGTGGATTCCAGGAAAGCTTCTGTGAAAGTGACACCATCCTCCATCCCAACAGAAGATCATTTTAAGGACACCAAATTGGAGACACCAGATTGCCTTTTCGAGCAATAAGGACTGTTTCCTTACCACCTTGCAATGCCAGAACATTTTTTTCAGTCAGATTTTGTTGGTACATTTTAGATATTCATAACAATCCCATTCATCAAAGAGAATTTATACCTGTACACAATAAAAGCAAAATCAGAATTGAGATGATGATCAACCAGACTCCAGCCCACCTCAGCCACTCCATAACATCTACTTTCATTCCTTTGCTGAAGGCCAATCTTGGGGCTGGGGAGATAGCTCAGCAGAATAAGCGCCAGCCTGGCAAGCACAAGGTCCTGAGTTGGATCCCCTATACCACAAAGGAAGAAAGCCAGTCTGATCTTCTCCACCAGAGGTGTGCCCCTTTTTCAACTTAAGCTGTTTTCCTTTCTAGCTCTGCCTCATAAATCGCTGAATACCTCTCACTGATGCGTCCCCAAATGCTTTTCTGCAGTGATGTTTGAAGAACCTGCTGGGCCATGTTGAGCTGTCCCTCTCCTCTCTAGGAGGACCATCTCAGATCTTGTCTGGTGACAGGGCTTGTGTCCCTGAGCTGGACCCCAAGCCCATACCTGGTTCTTACGAAATCCCCCCCAGGGTGCCGATTTCTCGCTGGGATCCTGGAGGTGCTGTTATGACTTGTGTCTGGATGTCCCCTTGTATGACTAGTATTACTGACTATACATGGGGCTTTTTCAGAGGTGGCTGGACCTAGAGTGTGTGATTGATTCAAGGTACAAGGCTAGGATTATGGGTATTAGGATGAGGGTGGGCGATTACTAAACCAGTCCACTGATTGGTTTGGTACTGCTCTAAGCCTGGTAGCCTGGATACAGTGTAAGGGAGAGAAAGGGGCTTTTCTTGTGCCTTGTGTGTTTTTGCCGCCTTCTGCCTGCTACGAGCTGCCCCTCCTTTGCAGTGCCCCTCTGCCACGCCACCCTGCCTCGGAGCCAGCCAATTATGGGCTGAAACCCCTACAAACTGTGACTAAATAAACCTTTCCCCTTTAACTTTGGGTGTCAAGGGCATTTTGTCTCAGCAAAGAGAAAAAGAACCAAGGCTGGTGTGCAGGCGAGTGGGCAGCCTTAGGGAGGGACGGAGGGGAGCTCAGGAGTCGGGCTGCAAGCCCGCGCATGCACACCGTGGCGATGGTAGCTGCACGCGGGTGGCGGCTGCGGGTGGGAGGGGGGTTGGGCCCAGCCGAGCCCCGGGGGGAGTCGGGTGAGGGTGCGAGCAGGCAGGCCAGCTGCGAAGGTCAGCCCCTCGGACATTCGGACACGGAAACAAGCACCCTCAGATGGAAACTCCTCAGCTCTCGGCCCGCGAGAGACACCCACTAGGGTTTTCACGGGGAGCCAGAGCCGAGCTTGAGCACCTCAGGAGAGGCTGCGGGAACCAGCAGGGGCCCAGAAAACCAGTACTCAGAACGATCCCGAAGCCATGGGGCACTCTAGGTGGCGCGGGCAGCTCGGCCTCCTTAGGCCTCATTTTCCTCTGCTAAAAAACGGGGCTGTTGTGGTCTGGGGGGCGCGCACCTGTAATTCTGGCCACTCGGGAGACTGAGGTGAGAGGATCACAAGTTTGAGGTCATTCTGGGCAACTTTTTGAGACCTTGGCTCAAATTAAATTAAATTAAAAAAAATAAAAATAAATTAAATTAGAAAGTTGGGAAGAAGTGCTTACCTAGCACATGAGGCCCTGTCTTTATTCCCTAGCAACACACACACACAGACACACACACACACACACACACACGCTGAAAATCACGCCTCCTTCATTAGGTATTCGAGAGAATAAATGAAGAAATATCTGTAGGAAGTCAGTGCAAAGCCTGGCACATAGTAGGCACCACAGAAGCATGTGCTCCTAGTATGACTACTTTTATTATTTGGAACTGACATTGAGACCCAGAACCCACAAAAGATCTATGTAGGGTTTTGCTACTAAACAGCCTGGTCCACTGGCCGGAAGCATCTCTGTTCCCGGGGCTAGAAGTGAGGGTGTAGGGCCCAGTCCCCGATGCTCTGAGTCAATCTGAGCTTGACCAGAGGCCCCAGAGAGCCGTGTGCACCTGCATTTGTGGGGCACCCAGAAAGCCACACGCAGGAACAAGGGAGACCTGGCCCTTTAGGAAGGAGGCCAAGGAGGAGACCTGGCTGGTGGGGTTCCTCCGGCCGAGTAGACCACGTGGGCACTTCACACTCAGCAAGGGGCCTATATCTCTGTGTGCTGGGACAGCACAGGGCCGGAGGCCACCATAGGGGTGCGGTGGCTGAGGCCAGGGGCGGTGGCGAGGTCCAGGGGCGGCTTGCTGCAGTACCAGCCCCTCAGGAGGCCGTCCACCTGCTCCTGGCTGCAGATTGCACGCAGGTGGGCCTTCCTGTACCCAGCGTCGGGGTCCTCGGGGTCCTCTGGGGGTTCTGGGGGCACAGCAGGCTCAGGACTCAGGCCTGCTGCGGAGTCCCGGCGCAGCCCCCAGGCCCGCAGCTCGCCCCGCATGCTGGCGAAGAAGTGCAGCACACAGCGGTGTGCGAAGTCCCGCGCATGCGCACAGCAGGTCTCCTCGAAGAGCTTCTGCTCCAGGTCCACGTAGTTGCTCCAGTATCGGCGCTGCAGGAAGGCTGTCTGGTCGAAGCAGGGCCTCAGGCAGCGCACCAGGAAAGCCGCCACAATGAGCAGCAGGGTGAGGCTCCAGCCAATGGCCTGGGGAGTGAGAGGCAGGAGGTGGGCACGCTGGCTAGGGGGCGGGACACCGTGTGCAGCTTTGCTTCCTCTGAGGTTGTCTCCATTTACCTCAGCTTGACCTGCTTCCCCACGCATCCTCTCCTCTGACTCGTGCCATGGCGCTTCCACCCTGTCGTCTCCCATCCACCCATCCTCCTTCCTCCTCTGAGCCACCCATCTGTCCTCCCACCCTCTCTCTCCCCCTCCCTCCCCTCCCTCCCCTCCCTCCCCTCCTTTCCTCTCCTCCCCTTCCCCCCTCCCTCCATTGTCTTTTTGAGACAGGGTCTTGCTATGCAGTTCTGGCTGGCCTTGAGCTCACATTGTAGCCCAGGTTGTCCTCGAACTGGCAATGATCCTCCTGCTCAGCCTCCTGAGTGCTGGAATCACACGCATGCGCCGCCATGAACTGTATGATCCTCTTCTTCCCTGCTTCCCCACCCTTCTCACCAGTTTACCCATCCAGCCCCAGTGTGTCCACCCCTGCTGTGCGGTGTGGGAGGCCCAGAGCCAGAACAGGCCATGGATGAGCGTTCCAGACCAGCAAGGGCAGAGTGTGCTTACTCTCCGCCTTCTGGGGCTGTCTGCTCAGCTCATGGCCTGGCGCCCCTGTCTGACCTGGATCCCCCAAAACATGGGATCCCTGGCATTGACAGATGTGATGCCCCGATTCACAGAGCTCGTCACCTGGCCACACATAGGGCCCTCCCCCCGCGACTCAAGGCGAGTGTTACACCAGAGAGCCAAAGAGCGAGTGCGCTCCAGGCTTGACCACTGACTTACAGCGGGGCCAGACCAAAGCTGCACTGATGGCCTGTGCTGTGCTACGCTGTGGATGGAGGAAGAGGGGGTGCTGCTGCCCTACCACAGGCCCGGCCTGTGAGAGGAAGCCAGCTTCCATGATTTTGAAAGAGAGACAGGTGCAGAGCTCAGTGCTGAGGTGAAGGCTGCAGTGGAGCCGGATCTGGTGTGTCCTGAGTGCTGCTCTCTCCACACTGCAGGTCTGCATCTGCCCCAAGCACGTCTGTGCTGCCCGGTGGCAGGGCTTGCATTCCTGACCTCAGCCCTCGTGTGCTGTGCATGCCACAGTTCCAGACAGCGTTCCTTCTCAAAAAGTATGCTGAGCCAGAGTCTTGCTACATTCAAGAAGCAGGGCCTCAGGCAGCATGCCAGCAAAGCCCAGACTTGCCTCAAATTTATGGTGATCCTCCTGCCTCTGCCTCCTGAGTGCTGGGATTATAGGCTTGCATCAACCCGCCCGGGGTGGGCTGGCCCTCAGGATAGTGGAGTGGGCGCCCTTAGGGATCCAGGCAGCAGGGAGGGTCGATGTGGTGTGCCACCCCTGTCCTGCCTCTAACCCAACAGCGGGCACTGCTGGCCTCCTGCGATGGGCTCAGCTGACTCCCAGGAGGTCCCAACCCCTGGGCCCAGCCTGGGGAGGGTCCATATTAAAGACTTGGTGCCCACTTCCTGGGAAGATCCACTGTCCTGACCTTGGCCCCCTCCCTGAACCCCAAGATCTTTGGTTCTGTCTCTAGCAGTGTGAAGGATCTTAGGGAATCATGCAGACCTAGCCAGTCTCTCCCTCCAGCCAGAGCAGGACCCCGCAAGGGTGCAGGGCTCGGGGACACTGATTACCTGGGACAGGCAGCGCAGGTAACGAGACACAGCTTTCCGAGCAGGGCTGTCCCTGACTAGCTCATCCTCCTTGCAAGGTACCTTGGCCAGGAACAGCTGCACCTGGCCAGGGGTCATGTTGGCAAAGTCCAGAAACTTCTCGGGGTCCACGGAGTTGCTGAAGGCACACACGAAGCACTTGCCATCCAGGAGGGCCAGCAGGACCCAGAGCAGGGGGGCAGCCAGTGCTCTCTGCAGCACGGAGGAGCACATGTACCTGGGAGCCAGGAGAGGCCGGTCACATATTTTCCTAGCTGGGAAGGAGGCTGTGGCCAGGTCCCTTCACTTCTCAGTGCCTCCACTTCCCCCCCCCCCTTAAAAATGGGTCCAGCTAGGGAGCAGCCTGGGCGGGGAGCGGAAGTGGCTGGGTTCACACTTGGGAACACGTGCCGCAGAGCAAGGCTGGGGCAGTGTGCAAGCCCGGTGGGTGAGCGTGGTGGGGCAAGGGAAGCCCTCTGCGCCAGGCCCCAAGGACACAGCATGGGGAGAAGGGGACAGCTGTGGCTCTGCCCTTGGGGAACTTGTGGAAGAGGAGATGCCCCCTAAGCAAACCACTGCCTCTTACTGCAGGAAAACTGCTAGGGCCCTTCACACCCCACCGACTTCTAATCCACAGCCAGGGAGACGGAAGAGGGCTGGGACCTTGCGCCATCATGTTTCCAGCCATGGCCATGGAGAGGTGACAAGCACAAGAATGGAAGTATGTCCCAGGTGGGAACGGGCAAGGGGGTCTCTGTGCTAAGGATTCCTGCTCGGGAAGAAAAAGGCAGCAGAAAGCCCTGGGTGCCCGCAGTGACCCGGGGCATGGGGCTGCACCTGACGATGCCGGCGTCCTTCCTGCGGCGCCCCACGGGCCGCTGCCACTCTTCCACCATCACCACCGACTGCCTGTTGAGAAGGAGGCCACAAAGGAAGAGGGCGAGTGGCGGCGTGAGCAGCAGGCCCAGGCCGTAGAGGGAGTTGTAGCGTGCCAGGCAGGGGCAGTTGAAGTCGAAGGAGGAGTAGAGCTTGACAGTGAGCGCGGCCAGCAGCAGGCACAGCCCGTTGGTCACCGACTCTGAGCTGGACTGGAAGTGCTGGAAGAGTGTGCGGAACCGCTCCATGCTGGATACGGGCCTGGCTCCCGGGAACCGAGGGGCTGGGGACGCTGGGCGCAGGTCCAACCGAGCCTCCACGTCCACTGAGGACTTCAGGCTGTGGTGTCTCTTCTTCTGCGACTGTGCCTTCTCCAGCCCCTCCTCTTGGCCCTGTGACTTGCCAGCCCAAAGCACCTGTAGGCAAATGGCCCAGCCTGCGCTCCCGGAGCCGGGTGCTCCCCCAGGGCTGGCGTACCTCCCTTGAGGACAGGCAAATCCTGGGCACAGTAGGCCGAGGCCAGGAGCCAGCTGTGTCTCCTGCTCTGGGTCAAACTCTGACTTGGCTCAGTTCGGCCCAGCAATGTCCTGTGAGCCTTGAGAGTGGGCGGAAGTGGAGGGGCACCTGTGTCTGCCCCAAGGCCTGAGCAGGAGGCGGTGGGCACTTTGGGGACACAGCGTCTCTGTGAGGTCGGTCAGGAGGGGCAGCAGCCTGGCAAAGGCAACATGGTGCGAAGGCGACCAGGAAGCCTCTGGACGGTCCCCAGGAGCCAAGCCCCCTGCCCCCCACTGCATCCTTGTGCTGCAGGGCTGGCTACAGCAGGCCCAGTCTCTGTGCCACAAACAGCTCCCACACCACACTCCTCCGCTCTGCGTGGACCCGGCATCCCACAGCTATGTGCTTGGTGTTCAAGGCCCTCCTGACTGCACCGAGTGCATCTTCCCACCTAGGTGCCTCGTCCATGCTGTTCTCGCTTGCTCTCCCTCCCACCTGCTGTCCAGGAGGTACTCAAGGGCCCCAGGCAACTCTGCAGAGCCCTGGTATGGCTGCTCCTGCCATGGACACCTTCCCAGGGCTCAGCAGGAGCCCAGGCTGTGCTTTTAGACAGCTGATATTGGTCCTCTGACACAGCCCTGTCCTCTCAGTGACCTGTGCCTGCTACCCCATCTCCCTCCAGGACATGGGTGAACGGGGAGTGAAGAAGGGGGTCGCAGCCCCCCCCCCCGGTTCTCTGCATCTCTGCCCTTCTGCCCTTCTGCCCTTCTCTGTCTCTCCCCTCTGTGTCTCGCTAGCTCTGCCTTCTCCATCCCTCTGTGCCCGGGCCTTCCTGCCTCTCCCTCCTAGCACGCTGTCCCTGGCCCCATCCCGGCACTGCGGGCCTGGCCTGGGAAGCGCCCAGCAGCCTGGGTCCAGAAGAGCCCTGTTGCTATGGCTTGTGTCTAGTTGTCCCCCAAAGCCTCATGCGGTCGTGGGGCAGACTTCTGGAGTTTGTGACTGCCTCATGGTCCCCTGGGATTCTGCGTGTGAGTGCTGCCCCCAGCCTGGGAGGGTCACGGGAATGCAATCTGAGGGAGACAGACTTGCTCTCTGGAGCCATTCTTGCTGTTACCCCTCCCTTGTGCTCTTGCTGTTTTGCTGCCTTCCGCAGCCATCAGCTGCTGCCCTCCACCACGGGCCGCTCTGCCTTGGAGCCAGCTGAGTGTGGGCTGGAGCCTCCAGCAACTGTGAGCCAAGTAAACCTTTCCTTCCCTCACTTTGAGTGTCGGGTGTTTGTTCCAGCAACTAGAGACGAGTAAGCGAGACACTGGCCTCTTCCTGGCATCACCAGTCCCCCGAGTCTGGGTGGGAGCAGGGAGGGCACGGGATCCCGACCCCCAGGCCCTGCCCTCACCGTCACCTCCGCAGCGCCTTTGCAGCCGGCCGGGACCACCACGAGCTGCGCGGGCTGCCTGGCTCCCACCGACCCTGGGCCGGCTGCTCCAGCCCGAGCCCGCCCTGCCCCGTCAGCTGCCGGGGGCTGACTGTCACCCTCCTTAGGGGCTGCTCCTGTGATGTCCTCCCTGGGGCGGGTCCTGGAGACCGCAGCGCGTCTGCCCCGTAGACTTCTCGCGGGTCTCTTGGTGTCTCCGTTTCCAAAGGGCAACAGCGCCTCCTGCTGGGGAAGGACCCTGGCGCCGGCGGCAGGAATATTTTGGTCACTTGGCCTGTAGTTTTACCCAGACCACTCCGAACACGCCCTCTGTACTCCAAACTCCTGGCTCCACCGATCCTCCTGCCTCAGCCTCCTAAGGAGCTGGGACCTCACACATGGCTACTGTATTTGGCTCATATTTTGGAAAAAGCTTTGAAATTTACATTTATTTATTTGTGGTGGTGCTGGTAATCAAATCCAGGGCCCCAGGAATGCTAAGCAAACGCTCCACCTCTTAGGCATGTCTACTACAGCCTTGCCTTGCCTTTCCCCTCTTTGGATTGTGGGGTAAGGTGGGATCTTGCCATGCACTAGTTCAGGCTGGCCTTGAACTTGCAGCTGTCCTCCTGCCTCAGTCTCCTCAGTGCTGGATCACAGACTGTGCCCAGGCCTGGCTCTTTTTTTTTTTTTTTTTTTTTTTTT